TGCGGACATAAATTACAATTTGGGGAAGGTGACAGATGCATATAGAAGCGTTTTAAAGGGGACAGATAGAGTCTATGCAATAGTTTCCAATGGATCTTCTGATGGTTTGGGTTTTTTGAGGATGATGTAATTGTCTCCCAGATTTGGTCAGAAAATAAAGTTTGTATGTCACCACTGCTTTTCAAGTGTATAATTGAAAAGTATTTGGAGAACTGGTTGAGTCTAAAAAAAAAGTAAATAAATTTATAATGATTGTGATCTTTGCAAAATTATGGAGTTTAAAAAGCTCATGGCTTGGTTGTTTAAAAGATCAGGCACAATTGTTCTTTAAGTGTTGGTAAGTTTGCAGTTCAAGGCCCCTGAAGAAAGGCTTTTTCAAAGGCTATTGTGGGTGCACATTCAGTGTATATTTACATGACATGCAAGGAATCATGCTAAAAAAAATCTGTCCTCTTTCAATTCAATTTTTATAAGCACTGTGTATATTTCCGAACAATTAACTAGTCTTTGTTATCTGGTATGCATTTTCAGACAGATTGAGAAATGTAATAATATGCCAGGAATGATATGTCATGAGCAAGCTGAGACCAGAAACTAAAAAGTGCAGAGCATTCCCAAAAAAAATGTAAATATGTACCCAGTGCCCTCTGCGGACATACATTACAATTTGGGGAAGGTGACAGATGCATATAGAAGCGTTTTAAAGGGGTCAGATAGAGTCTATGCAATAGTTTCCAATGGATCATCTGATGGTTTGGGTTTTTTGAGGATGATGTAATTGTCTCCCAGATTTGGTCAGAAAATAAAGTTTGTATGTCACCACTGCTTTTCAAGTGTATAATTGAAAAGTATTTGGAGAACTGGTTGAGTCTAAAAAAAAAGTAAATAAATTATCTGATGGTTTGCATTTTTTGAGGATGATGTAATTGTCTCCCAGATTTGGTCAGAAAATAAAGTTTGTATGTCACCACTGATATCCTTAGACCAGATAGTTGCTATGGATAGTGGTTTGTATGAATTTTTTAGGAGAAAAGAGTAAATAACTGAAGCAGAAACAACAGAATTATCAGTGGGAAGAATTACTTTTCGCAAGGGATGTACAGGCAATTGTGCATCCCAGGGAACTCCATATGCGCGAAGCGCTGACCTAATGCGAAGATACATGAAGAAGGAAGATCCTGGTAAATTAAAAAGTGAAATGATGGTCTTGAATGATCTTGAAATGATCTCAGGCCTTTGTCATCGTATATGTCACCAAAGGAATCTACCTTACATTAGCCCATTGTGGATAGTGAAAAGGGTTCTTTCCTGATAAAAAATTATTATTGTGAAACAGAGGTGAATGACGATGCCACATCAAATTTGGCACTATCTTTCTGGTCACCGTTCTCCAAGCAGAAATAAAATGTGTTATGATAGGGCCAAAACGAAGTTTACATTGTCTAAGTGAGACACCAGCAAAAACCAAATGCTTTATATTGTGAGGAGAAACAAGAGATTATTCAATAGCCCACCATGAGGTTGACACATTTGGTTAAAACCAGGTTGACAGTGCACGAAGAGTAAAGGAGTCAGCATATAACTTAAAATTGGGAAAGGACCAGCCCCCATCTGTTCTGCTGCACTGTAAAGTAGATAACCTAATTCGGGGACGTTTACCATTCCAAATATAATGAGAAATTAGCCAGCAGGTGGGGGTAAAGGAATCATAAAGGAATAGAAATTAACACGGGGAAGGATGTTCATTTTAACAACAGATATTCTTGCATGAAAAGAAGATATGTCCAATTTGCGAGATCTGAGGTCACTCTGGCCAAGTTGTTATTTAAATTTTTTGAAACAATATCCTGCAGGGACGAATAAACATCTACACCTAAGTATTTGAAGGAATGCACCACCGGAATAAAACCATAAAACGTCACAGACCCAACACAAAAATTGAGAGGGAGCAGATATGACTTTGTCCAATTAATTTTATACCCAGATAGGTTACTGAAGTGATTGACTACATTTAAAACATGGGGGACTGATTGAACTGGATTGTCTAAAAAAAGCAAGATGTCATCTGCAAATAAAGATATGAGGTGTGAGGTGTTCCTAATCAATATAGGAAGTATAAGTTCTGACTGACGTACAGCTTGAGCAAGAGGTTCTAAAGATAAAGCAAATAGTAAAGGTGAAAGAGGACAACCCTGAGGGTTCGCATTTAGAGTTGGAGCTGTATAGTTCACAGTAGAAGGAACGAAAAGAGTTGTTTATACTCTTCTGGTCAGTCAGAACATCACCGTTTTGAGATTTGACTGCTGTAATATTAGCAAATTTTTCGCTATTACGTAGTCTTAAAGCCAATAAATGGCTAGGTCTGCTACCTTGAAAATAATAGTTTTGTCTGGATCTTTGAATAAGAAATTCGGCTCTGTATCTATATAATAAATTAAGTTCTTTCCTAACAGTTTCAATTTTAACAGTCGTACTATTAGAAAAAGAGTGTTGGTTTGCCTGTTCTAGTCATCGAAGCGATTCCAGGTCAGAGATTTTCTTACGGTGAATTTTCTGGCGAAAAGAAGCATATGAAATCGAAAAATTCCTTATAAAGCCCTTTGTCGCCTCCAACAGTATGCGTGGGTAATCTACCGAGCCTTTATTGATGTCAATAAATTCACATAATTCAGTTCTGAATTGATCACAAAAACACTCATCTTTCAATCAATTAGTATTAAAACGCCATCTGGGGGCTCGCGTAGGTCGCTGGGTAATTGAAAGCCTAAAAAAATTGCTACTATGGTCTGAAAGAGATGGGGAGAAATGTCAACTTCAAGTATCATTGAGGTCAAGGAAGAGGAAGCAAAAATGTAGTCAATCCGTGAATATGATTTGTGTCTAGCTGAGAAAAATGTATATGATTTTTGGGAAGGGTTAAATAACCGCCATGCATCTACTAATGAAAAAGAGACTGTTTGAGTTGCTCAGTAGAAACTGAGAATTCTGGGAATAAGAAAAATTGTCACCAGACCTATCAAGGTCATGGGACATTACAGCGTTCATATCTGCTCCCATTACTACCTCAAAGACCGTTAGATCAGTAAGATAGGTAGATAATTCAGAGAAAAAAGTTGGATCTGGACTACATGGTGCGTAAACTGAGAGAAAGGCTATCTTATTATTCTCAACCACAATTTTTATACAAGTTATTCTGCCAGCATTATCACTATTTCTGTCTAATAAGGCTATCTTCCTATTCTTAACCACAATTTTTATACAAGCTATTCTGCCAGCATTATCACTATTTCTGTCTAATATGGAGATATTTAGATTTCTTCTAACAATTATTAATACACCTTTAGTTTTATTATCAGTCGCGGCGTAAGAGACCACCTCGTAATATTTATTATTGCATCTCTGAACATCAACCTTCCGCAAATGAGATTCCTGGATTAAAGCAATGTTAACCTTTCTTCGTCGCAATAATTAAAAAAAACATGTACGCTTATGGGCCATTTAAACCATTTACATTACAACTTAGTATATTCAATTCAGTCATAAGTATCAAACAAGTAAATGAAATGTACAAATGAGACAAAGTAATACCACTGCAAGTAAATTATATTAAGTCTGCCTTCAACCCATCCCTCCCCCACCGAAAAACCCTGTAACATAAAGGAAGCCCACCCCAAGGAACTATTACAGACTGGGGTAAGAACTAACCCCAGGCTGCGACACTCCCCTGTCTTTGTCAGTGACAGTAACATGACAGCCTGTACAACATTAGTACACCGCCATTAGCCCTATTATAAGAGAACAGAATAACTTTAAATTCACATGAGTAATGAAGTGGGGAAAAAGAAAACAAAAATTATGCTCTCTATAAAGAGGAAGCAAACATAAATAATTACATCATGTACATAGAAAACTGTAAATTAGTGACCATGTCTCCTAGCTTAGCCTACATGAAAATAAAAAACTGCCAGTAGACGACCATCACATGTAGTTCTAGATTATTAAATCAGGAGTCGAGTCACTCAGTATTGACAAACCCTTCTGCCACATCCATCCTTGAAGAATGAGGACTGGGAATCGAGCTTAGGAATTGACTCGCTTCCTCCGGAGAGTACAGTAGTTTAGTCTCGCCGTGTTTCATGACGATCTTCAGCGTAGCTGGATACTGAAGAAAGGTCTGCACACCTGCCTCTTTCAATTCCTTACGTGTTATAGTGAAGGAGCTCCGCTTCTTTGCCGTCGCGGGAGAGAAGTCGGGGAAGAAGCTCAGCATTGCACCATCATTTGTTTTTACAGGACCGTGGCGTCTTGCTTCGTTTAGAATCAGATTCCTGTCGTTGTAGCGTAACAGTTTGAAAAGAAACACTCACGGTTTGGATTGATCAGTTGAAGCTCTGGCGTAAACTCGATGCGCACGTTCGATCTCGATATCTTTGTCCGCTAGTGATGGAATCCAGGTCGGAAGAGACCGTTTCAGAAAGCCAACTGGATCATCTTTCTCGGCCCCTTCAGGTAACCCTAGCAGCCGGAGATTACTGCGTCAGCTGCGGTCTTGTAGATCAATCACTTGTTGCTCGAGGGCATTCAAATGCCTAGTGTGTTCGCTGACCACTCTTTTCTGCTCTCTCTGTTCCCCGGTTAAGAAGTCAACTTTAGAGCACATATTCTGGATTGTGGTCATGTGAGAGGCGAAATCGGTGCACATTGCTGCTAGTTCAGTTTTCAAAATGTCCTCAAAATGCTTTATAGTGATCGCCATGTTATCCTCCATGTCCGCTCGGCCTGCCGCGGCTGCTGATTTAGTTTTCTTCTTTATTGGAGAGGATGATGCATGTCTCCTAGCTTAGCCTACATGAAAATAAAAAACTGCCAGTAGACGACCATCACATGTAGTTCTAGATTATTAAATCTGGAGTCGAGTCACTCAGTATTGACAAACCCTTCTGCCACATCCATCCTTGAAGAATGAGGACTGGGAATCGAGCTTAGGAATTGACGCGCTTCCTCCGGAGAGTACAGTAGTTTAGTCTCGCCGTGTTTCATGACGATCTTCAGCGTAGCTGGATACTGAAGAAAGGTCTGCAGACCTGCCTCTTTCAATTCCTTACGTATTATAGTGAAGGAGCTCCGCTTCTTTGCCGTCTCGGGAGAGAAGTCGGGGAAGAAGCTCAGCATTGCACCGTCATTTGTTTTTACAGGACCGTGGCGTCTTGCTTTGTTTAGAATCAGATTCCTGTCGTTGTAGCGTAACAGTTTGAAAAGAAACACTCACGGTTTGGATTGATCAGTTGAAGCTCTGGCGTAAACTCGATGCGCACGTTCGATCTCGATATCTTTGTCCGCTAGTGATGGAATCCAGGTCGGAAGAGACCGTTTCAGAAAGCCAACTGGATCATCTTTCTCGGCCCCTTCAGGTAACCCTAGCAGCCGGAGATTACTGCGTCAGCTGCGGTCTTGTAGATCAATCACTTGTTGCTCGAGGGCATTCAAATGCCTAGTGTGTTCGCTGACCACTCTTTTCTGCTCTCTCTGTTCCCCGGTTAAGAAGTCAACTTTAGAGCACATATTCTGGATTGTGGTCATGTGAGAGGCAAATTCGGTGCGCATTGCTGCTGGTTCAGTTTTCAAAATGTCCTCAAAACGCTTTATAGTGATCGCCATGTTATCCTCCATGTCCGCTCGGCCTGCCGCGGCTGCTGATTTAGTTTTCTTCTTTATTGGAGAGGATGATGGTGAAAGATAAGCGAGTTTCCGACTGTGTGACATTTACAAACCAATGGCAAACGAAAAAAACTACCCCAATTGTAGGTAAAAGAGTCAAACAGCAATAAAAGAAGGGCTAAATACGCGGAGCTTAACTAATGTGCATCTGGGCCCATGAAAGCGTCATGTGATCCCCCCACCATGTCTTCCTGTTTCAGTTGAAATTACGTCAACACAAAGAATAATGCTGCACGTTTCAAAGCACGTCAGTGGACCTTTAAGAAACCAAAGTATTGGTATCGGAAGCTGATGTCATTCTGAATAATCGGTTATCGGTATCAACTGAGAAATGTAGTATCGGTGCATCCCAAGTGCTTACAGACTCTGAGGAACCCTCATATCCAACGAAGCACAAACTTCCGTCTCTCTGGCCGCTCCTGCCATCATCCTTCTGGCTGGATGGATCGCCTGTCTAACCTCATGAGACTCCGTAGACTGCATTATTTCAGTGTTTACAATCTGGACTGATGGATGGAGAGCCTGTTTAACCCCTTGAGACTGCATTATTTCAGCGTTTAAAATCTGGGCCGCTACAGAGACACTGCCTTGAGTTTGCTTAAACCCTTCTGTGGGCTGCTTCTCAACCATAACTATACTCTGGTAGTGCTGCGTTTCACGTTTGGCAGTTCCACGTTGGGAAGCACCAGAGCCCTTCAGGTTCTCCTGAAGGCCTAGGACTGGGCCAGGCGTCACCAACAGAGTAGGCTGGGCATCCACCACATAAATGGGGGTGGTGTGGGCGTAGTACATCGCGGGTTGCTGGACTAACAGGGTTTGGTTAGGAACCACCACCTTCTCTTGGACATAGGCTCCTGTTGAAGACATGCTGCTGGTCTGCTGCACTCCTACGGTGTGAATGATGGCGGATGACTTTGCTTTCTCTTGAGACTGTGAATGACTAATTGTCCCTTGTACGTTGACATCTTCATGTGTGGCGGTCAGGACCGGTTTAGAGGTCACAGGGACGCTTGTGCTGATTTCAGCCTTAATTGTAGAACCACTGCAGATCTCAGCCAGGGTCTTGAACTTCAAGTCAAGGTCATCAAGAAAAGAAAAGTCGTCGTCTTTGTGTAGGAGACCGCAGATGTCCTCAAATGAGCCCTTGTATGATTCCTCACCCTCGTAGTCGTAGACCTTCAGATTGTCTCCCTTATCTTGCTTCTTGGCCACATGACTTGCTTTCTGTAGTAACACAGAAATAATGTTGCCTTTATTGATTTATAAACCCTTGACCCATTCATATACACCAATGACCCGAAAACACATTTATAAAATGCATAGTTCTGACCGAACAGTGTTGGGGAAAGTTACTTTTAAAAGTAATGCATTACAATGTTGCGTTACTCCATAAAAAAGTAACTAATTACGTTACTTAGATTACTTGTAATGCATTACCCCCAACACTGTGACCGAACATACTATATTAAAGAATGTTCTAGTTGTGTTTAATGTTTCTTGAAGTTTAAAAACCCCGTGACATCACATGCTGTGGTATTGCTGGATGGCGGCTCCCTTGCTTCAAAAGCTATAACAAAACATCCTTTTTTTCTTTAAAATAGTTACATTAATCGTGTTTGTTATATATACATATATTTTTATTAAAGTGGAAATCAGTTTACTAAATAACATAAACTTGACTGACTGCTTCCACTTCAAAGGTCAAGTTTAAACTCAAGCTGGTCTTTAATCCTCACAATGCATTAAAAATCTGTATGCTATTTTCACATTACAGGTCCGTTTAGAACTGAAGAATCGTTATAAATTGCTTAAACTGTTCATAACTTAATATTTTTCAACTGAAACCATATTGAATCTGATCAGCAACTTTTCATTAATGAGTGAATATGAAAATGTTATTACCATGTTATTATATATATATATATATATATATATATATATGTTCAATATTGATTGGAAATATATCACTGAAATTTACAAGAACTTATAATGTGAAAATTACCATAATTAACCCCATTGGAAATTGAATTTATAACTCATTATTGCTCAAAAACCATCCAAATTCATGAAACCTACATATTTATTTCTGACAAAACAGCATTAAAAAAAGATAAATATTACTCTGAAAAGTTTCCATGCTGTAGTGGTTTGTCAATAGGCGTACATTTTCATGTTTATCAACAAAATTTAGTTGCAGAAGTGTGTGAGATTTGACACTAATGTAACTTCAAAGATAATTTTAACTTATAATTTTGACACCTAATGGTACTCCATACATACCCTGGCCAAAAATGACCCGGATACAAAACATAACATTTTTTAATGGATATAATCTCTTAAAAAATAATTTTAAAAAATCTGAAAAATTAACTGATGAAAGTTTAATTCCATTACTAAAAACTAGCCATTTTATGGACATTTTTACATCTCTTTTTCATTGACATGTCTCAAAATGCACCCAAATATGTTATGAGGGTTAAAGCTTTCTGCTCTGGTGCTGCGGTCAATCTTTTATCGCATGCTATGCAGAAGAACGCTATGTGCACTTGGCATCTGGAGTCTTCCATATGCATTTTGAAATAATAATATTAATGCTCAGTCGATTCATTTTTTTTTTTAATTGATTAATTATTATTTTGAGTTAGGAAGACTTAAGCTGTATAAAACTGATACTTACTTGAGAATAGTAGTTGCCTAAGAAAGCATCAGACAGCGCAAGCCCGTCAAAAGTGTAGTCTTCAAATCTGCTGTGTTCATCTTTTCTTTGTCCAGACTTGTACCGTCCAGCAGTCTGATTCCTGTGGTGATGATGTGCACTTTCATGCTGGTCATATTGGTAGAAAGAGGTCCAGTGTGAGCCTTCTGCTCTAAATCCACCATCTTTTACTTCACCCCACATCCGAGCCCCTCCTTCAGCGTCCACATGACTGTACTTGCTGTCATCCAGCTGCTTTGACATCCGTAAGAGAGCCATTCCCTGTGAGACAGAGTACAGCTTGGGGTTTATGCCAAATGTGTGTAATCTTTGGCAAGTAGATAATTTTAGCAAATTACTATAACTTGTTAAGCAAGCACAACATAATACATTAGAGTGATAGTTTGGCCTATGTGGATTCAAATGACATACGTGATTGACATTTTTATCACCTTTTTTTTTTTAATCAACAAAAGAAACTGTTTTGTTTAAAAAGTCTTTTAGACATTTGGTTAATTATCCTCGAGATGAACCTCAACAGCTTGCAGCTGAAACATAGCCATAGAATTATTTTGTTTTAATTGTTACATTTTAAATACATTCTAAATAAAGATCATTTGCATCATTTTGTGCTATTTCGTTAAAAAAAATGCATAAGTGTCAAAGATGAGATGTCCCATTTTGGTGTCCGCATTGAATTAAATTGACAAATACACAGAAAGCATATTAAATGCAAGTAAAGTGTCTATTTTAATGTTTCAAAAACTTTTGTAAAAATAAAATGTCAAAATATGGCTTAAATGTCATTCAGCATAACAGACATATTTTTGTAAAAATGAAAGATACTTATTCTGACCTGTACTTATTGAAATACATATAGTGATCATACTAAATTTTATTGTATTTTAATTGATCAAAAACTTCTTGCTGACAAATGGGTAAAACCTAGTGGTTTGAAGGACAGTGGCAAAGATTGGCATAGAAAAAAAATAAATAAAGTGGCATTGATGCTTGAAAACCCCTTTTCATCTTTGCCCCATAAATAAATAAATAGCCCATAACATGCACGTGTGTAATAAAAGGTGTAGCAGTTTGTGTGCCTGACAGCACAGTTTTCTGCTGCACTCTTCACTCATCTAACACAAGAAATGTAAACATAATATAATAAATAATAAATGACTATAATAAATACACAGCAGCAGCACACATACACAGCAGTTATCAGGGTCCAAGTTCAGAATTTGTCAAAACTGAAAAGGCAAATGCTGCTGATTCTGTCTAAAAATGTAAACAAACAGTTTACCAATAACACTGGAAATGTTTGTGTCGTTTTGATATTGTGTTGACAAGATACAGGCTAATTAGTCTTTATGGGCTATTATCTTTACCCCCAAAAATCTTGCATAAATGGATTACTATTTGATTTGGAGACACTGAAGTATTCAGAGGAAAATTACATTTTTATTCTTCCCTGTCCAGTCCAAGAGTACAAAACCTTTTATAGTTATAGTCCTTTTTCTATTCTCCCTACTGTAATCCTGAAAGAAGAAAGAAACAACGGCCTTCATAAAATGCGACATCTTATTCTGAACCCCCAAAATCTCTCTTTTCATGTTCGATGATTAATATACACGAGTAGCGGTACTGATGCCACAGACATATTGTAGAAAACAAGAAACTCACAAAATGTAGTGTTGGTTGTCATTTGGCACCATCATGGCTGCTTGTGACAAAAACTCACAAGCGGACTAACATGAAAGATATCATTTGTATCGCTTTTCTCCATTGTGCCACAACTAGTTTGGCATGTTTAACAGTCTGCTGTAGTGTCACATACCTTGTCCTCCCCCTGTCCTTCAGTATTATATGCAATAAGATGCTCTTTAGCTTCAAACGGCATGGTCATGAAATCTCCGACAGCTCCTGCGCCGCCACAAAGACAGAAGAGCAGCAGAAGCGGCACCACTACAAACACAGTCAACATCAGTCACCAGTGTTCATTCAGCACGGCATCTATTAACATCTTCCACAACCGCACACAATTCTGTCATATGGAGCCATGCAACAATAGCAGTCAACAGCTAACAAAAAAAAAAAAAATGCAATAGTGTATACTTTGATTTCAAAATCCAGGGTCTCTACATGGAGGACCAGATGTAATCAGTATTTTGAGCTTATACTCAAAGCAAATAGTTTCAGATAGCATAGTGTCTAAGACTACAGCAAACATTTGATTTATGTGGTCAAATGATGTTGTAAACAATGAAGGTAAATGACATATATTTTTGAAATTGAGAATATATTTAGTTTCAACCTTTTTCAAATGTATCTCAGGGGTAAGAAAATACATTTGCAATCTTACAGTAGCCTACTTTTAGTCTAAATGCAAATGTGGACGGAATAGCCAACTAGAGATCAAAACTAGATTTTATAATGATTAATTACTTTTTTGTTGTGTGAATTGTGTTATGTTCACACGTGTTATAGACAACAAACAGTTTTTCTTTAAATGTGAAATGTGAGTGTTTTTTAATGGCTTGAAAACAAATGGAGGGAAAAATACATTTTAAATGCTTTTAAAAAATATATTTATATTTTTTCAACTATATTAAAATATATTAAAGGGGTCATATGATGCGATTTCAATTTGTCCTTTCTCTTTGGAGTGCTACAAGCTCTTGGTGCATAAAGAAGATCTGTAAAGTTGCAAAGACTAAAGTCTCAAATCCAAAGAGATATTCTTTATAAAAGCTCAGAGTCAGCCACGCCTACCTAAAACGGCTCATTCTGACACGCCCCCAGTGTTGGGGTACAAGTAACGCGAGTTACGTAATCAGATTACTTTTTTCAAGTAACTAGTAAAGTAACGCATTACTTTTTTAATTTACAAGAAAATATCGGAGTTATTTTTTCAAAAAAGTAATGCCAGTTACTTTGCACATACATTTTTCCCATGTATTGACTGACAGCTCTCCTGTCCTCATATTGGGAGAAATCGGGAGTACAGAGGCGTTGTGTGCGCTGTGTGAACATGATGTTACTGTAGTCCTAGACTAAATGTGAATGTGCATTAATTCATCCCACTCACAAAAAACTGATTTAGTATTCATCAGAATGAATTAAAACAGTGAAATGCAAACTCAGAATATGACGCAAACCTGCAATAATCAAATATGTTAAATAACACAAATGTATCTAATCCCATTTTATTAACCAATATCTTTGCTGCTGACCTTTGATGATCCAGTTCAACCATATTAATAAGCAAAAATGACTTTAGAGAAACTAACAATTGTGCTTTGTTTTTTTATTGCTGAAGAGTGTTTCTTCTCCTGCGTTCTACTGTACAGACGTGATTTTACTTTTGCTTCAGCCTGAGGTTTATTCATTACACTTTTTGGTGTGAAAGGGCTTTTACATTTGCTATAAATATAATTTTTATATTAAAAACAATCAAGCCCTGCT